TTTTCCTTAATTAGAAAAAATCTTTTTGAGAACTGGAAGAAAGATAAGAGCGGTTGAAAATGAAAGATGTCATTACCAAGGGTCATGAAATCATAAGATTATGGGATGATACGGGCTGGAAGAGGCTTCCATCAAAACATTTAGTGCAGGCTCAGACTAAGTTGCTCAGGGCTGCTCCCAACCAGGTTCTGAAAGCTCCCAGAGATGGAGATGGCACCTGGGCAGCCTGTGCCAGCACTCAACCAGTCTCCAAGGGAAAGCCATAACCTTACATCAGCTGAACACCTCATCTCAGCTGTGCCCTTTGCTTCTCAATCTCTCTCCATGCAGATCCAGGTTCCATCCTCTGCTACACTACCTGTGCATAAATGTCCTGAGAGAACACATTATTCTGGCTCTGTCAATGTGCAAGCACACTCACATGTGTGCACATGCACAGCAACCCTCCACAGAGGCATGCACACTACTCCAGAACACTTTATATATAAATTCATGGCATGAAATATTGTTCTGACCATCAGTGTAAGCCTCAAACCAAACAGTGTGACCGTGTGTATGTAACAGAAAGGAGAAAGGCAGGTGGTTTTCCACAGATTTCTTATAAAATTCTGTAAAAAATATGTACAAAATTATGATTTATTACAGGACAAGAAACGACCTTGTATAAGGAGGGAAATTACTGCCAGATAGTTGCTTAAAAGAAAAAAAAAGACATATTTTAAGCAACAGGACAAAATTATTGAAAAATTAATACTGACATTTCAGTAGAGAAGGAAGGAAGAGAATGGGACTGGAATACCAGACATGAACATGCTTTTACAGCACACCATCTCTCTGTATAAAATTCTGTCAGATTTCATAAAATTAGAGCTTTGGTACAAGCGGACCAAATGGACAAAAAAAATATTTTAAGTAGTCAACACAGGTATAGTGCATTTACATAATGGAAAGTTCAAGAATTTGGTCATCTAAGTTGGACTGAATTCATGCCAGAGCACAAACTCAATCTGAGCAGCTGAAGCACAAAGCTGCTGTACAGGCTGGCAAGAAAAGCTGAGCTTTTTATGAAAAACCCAATCCACCTGGATAAAGAGAGGATGTCAGAACCACAGAAAATAACGAATGAGCTTGAGCAAGCAAACATGGCTGCCTTCCTCCAGCAAGGGCTTGGCTGATGCACAGGAGCTCTGAGATTGCTGATCAAGCAGAAAAAAAGCAGGAAGAGAAAGAAAGAAAGGGGACAATTACTCCTAAATCCTGAAAATGGAAAATCACAGCTCTAAACAGAATTTCTGTAATGTATGCAAACTGCTAGGGAAGTGCATTGCTCTGATATTTCTGGTGGAGGGAAGAAGGTAAGGGAAGAAAAATTATTGAACGGTGTCTGCACAGCTATCTCTGGCCAAAAATAATAGGAGAAAAGAGAGGGAAGAGACAGAGTGAGTGTAGACAGTCAAAAGGAAAGAAAAATGAAAAGCAGTGGAAAAAAAAGGGGACTACTGCTACAAAAAAGCAAAGCATAGTCCAAATCCTGTGTTGAAATGATATAACCTCATTATCCAAGGCATTTATTCAAACAGGAACAATTTCAGACCAAGTGCTCATTCTGGACATCCATGGGACAATTGTTATTATGAGTATAGCTATCTTTCCAGTCTTCATAAGTATTGGGAGAACTTTTGGGGAAGAAAAACTTCTTTCCTGATCAGTTTAGCACACAGTAAAAGCACTTTTATATTTATGTATTTTCTTACCCAGTAAAAATCACCAACACCTCAATCAAATGACTACAGAAACTCACAAACTAGTGAAAACATAGAAAATGAAAAAAGCCCTGCCACATGGTAGACAAGTCCTAAATAGAACCTTTTCCTATGGGAAAACCAAAATGTATTTCACACCAGGAAGGACAACTAGATCAAGGAGAATGTGAAGGGCTATGAGTGGGATTGACATTTCTCCTGAGATCTCTGGGTTTAGGGCTTCTGCTTCACAGTATTTCCCTTGTGACTTCAAACTCCCAAGTGAAATTTCCCACCTATTTGCTTTATCAAATGAGGAAAAGGGACTGCATTTATAGTTTTTTGTAAGGGGAACTGAGCTGTATCAGAGGCTGAAGGATAAAGCCTGGGGAGATCACTCCTGCTGAGATCTCTCGTTGCTTCATTCACATTTCCATGAGTTTTTTCAATGTTTTGGACTCTCAAGATTTCGAGGAGCCATTTTATTCCAGGCTGGACCAAGGAGAAATCAGTCATTTTCCCAGGGACAAATTCTCTTCTGCTCTTCCTAATACTATTGCTACTACAGAATGCAAATGCTTCTACTCACACAGGACTATCTGCTACCCACTAGTATTTACAGAGCACTTCACATTTGATAAATATGCTAAAAGATCAAAAAATCCTTTCCCAAAATACACAAAAGAAAACAAATCTCTGCTGTTTGCTTTATTGTCAGTTTACTGTGGATAGGCCTGGCTCAGCCAAAGTAGAATCAGGGTATTTGATCTCTGTCTTACTTTAAGTCCATCCAGTTTGTCACTGATAACTGGGCAAACTGGCAGAGCACACACAAACATCCAGTCTGCAGCATCCCTCAGCTCTACACAGGAATTTAAATCTTAATTGAACAAGTCAACAGGGACAACAAAACTTGAAGCAGCCCACTCATCAGTCTGACTGTATCCAAATAATTAAATTATCTACTTGATCAAAAGTGAACAGAAAACGTGTGCTTAGTGCTAGATGTATACCTGAGCAATCTGGTCTAGCAGAAGGTGTCCCTGACCACACCAGTGGGGTTGGAACAGGAGGCTCATTAAGGTCACTTCCAACCCAAACCATTTGGGGATTCTGTGATTTTTGCACCTTAAAGGTTTTTCTCCAGTCAAAGTCTTACGTTTCTTGTTACACTTACAATGGCGCTTAAAAACCTGTACTTTAATTGCTGACTGAAAATTTTGATTTAAGAGAAACCACTATCATTCTTGATTTAGAAATAGGAGAATAAAGTACCAATAAACAGAGCAATACACAGACGGTTACTCAGGAACTGTATGGTAGAAAAAAGGGCTGAAGCCAAGTATTTCTGTGGAGTCCCATTCTGTGGAATTATTCCCCACTTAAGGTAAACTTTTTTCTGTATGTTATCTCTGCAGACAGAGGTGTGAAGTACATTTTTATTTATTCACGTGGGAAGAGAAGTGAGCTTGTTTCTTTCTTCCCTTCCATAAAGCTGTTATTCTGCTGAAAAGCAGATTTAAGCAGTGCTCCCTGGCAAGAGTTCGAGGGTTACTTTAAACTGGGACACACAACTCCTACTTTCTGACATCATTTCATGGTGTGTTCAGGGAAGTATTCAAGCGTGACATTCTATCATTAGGCATAATACAGCCACTGCAGGGGCTGATTACTGCAATAAGAACTCATTTTCTTTAACACTATATGTGATAAGGAACAAATAAAAACCCAGGGCAGACACACTGTCATAAAAAGGTGGGTGATGTCAAGAATGAAAAACCCAAGGAATGTTTTTGGTAGTCAGGGAAAGAAAATCCCCTGAACTGAGTGGGGGCTTGGTGAGCATCTTTGAAATTAAGACCTTCCCTTTCTTTGCAAGGTTTCTCATGCTGCAGTGGCCCACCTGCATCTTCCTAGGGATGGACGCTGCTTCCACCCTGATCTGACTTGATACCCAGAGGCAGAAGCACAGCATTTGGAGCAAGGCACAAGTGTCCTTTTTAGATGCTCCTTTTTAATGTGACAACCATAAAATCCCTCTTTGCCTTGGTAAATTCAGAGGCTGCCTGTGAGAAACTAACCCAGGGTGTTCACCAAATCAATGCTCTGACCAGCTGTGTTGTCCTCTCCACAGCCAGATCTTCAAAACAAATGAGACTTTGCAATGCACTGCAAAGCAGTGCTTACATACCACTGGAAAAATTTTAGTCACAAAAAGACAATGTCTTCTCCAAGACACAAGAATGGCACTGCTTTTCTATCTCCAAAGGGTATCACAAGGACATATTAATAAGCTCTTCAAATGGGCTCCTGTTTCTTAAATAGGCTCTTCTAGCATCATGTTAGCAGAGAAGAACTCAGGATGGATAGCTCTGTATGCAGCCAATCTCCTTGGGGGCTTAAGTGAGCTGAAGATAAAGGAATTATTTTCATATTTGATCACGTAAATGTCACTGGATTTATTTGCAACAACCCACTCAAATCTTCCTGTAGGTATACAGAATCATATTTGACAATGAGCTTTCAAGATATACTCGAATGAGGCCCTTTGTGAGACCTCTCATTAGAAGTAAAATAATTTACAGCTTCTTCCATTCCCTGGCATTTTATCACATGCTCCTACTTCTGCAGTCTCCCATGATGACAGGATGGTACATGGCATACAAATTATTAATGGGAAAGATTTGAGACTGGCTTTGGTGCAAAGATGATAATTAAATTTGCTACTGAACCAGTAAAAGAGCTCCAGATGTATGCGTCCCACTGGTAACCAGAACTGTCTTTAAAGTTATTTAAAGTCTGTCCCCATTCCTTATTTCATTTAAGCAGCTCCTTTCCTTTGCCTGTGTCATTTGCCTAACTAGGTTTTTGTTTCTCAATGTTGCAGCAAACTTTTGTTTACACCATCTACTTTTTCTTAACATCTTTGTCTTGTTCAAAGCCTTTTCAAATGAATTGGATTGTAAAAAGTTATTACACTAGCAGCTGAAAGTACTGAGCAGCACAACTACAGTGCACACAATGCATACAGTAATGTTAATTATTTACCAGTTCCCAGTATGATTACATTTTGCATGGCAATGGCACTCAGGGGCTTAATAGCTGCATAAAACATTGCGTATGTTCTCTGCTGTCCTGGAATAAATCATCCCTGAAAAATTCAGCTCTTAGAAATAAAACACAGCATTCAGCCATTTACCAGGATTACGACGTGCGATGAAAGCCCTACAGAAGTATTTATTTTCAACAAGGCCCTACCTTTGAAGAAACAGTCCTTGCTGTGGATAATGTAGATCTTCTTCCTCTGCAGGCACGAGGCTCGATGCAGCTGGCAGTGATTTTCGTAGAACCTGCCGTCAGATCCACAGACGGGCATGTAGGTGGCCTTGCAGTCCTCCACACACCGGCACTCGGGCTGCTGCGTGTCCCCGCTGAGCACACACCGGCTGCCCCGGCCACAGAGCCTCCTCTCGCAGGGCGCCCGCTGCCGCTCCTGCCCCTGCAGCGCTGGGGACAGCAGAAAACGCCACCATGAGCCACACCGGCCTCAACAGCCCACGCTGCCCCTCCTGCCCCTGCAGCGCTGGGGACAGCAGAAAACGCCACCATGAGCCACACTGGCCTCAACAGCCCACGCTGCCCCTCCTGCCCCTGCAGCACCGGGGACAGCAGAAAACGCCACCATGAGCCACACTGGCCTCAACAGCCCACGCTGCCCCTCCTGCCCCTGCAGCGCTGGGGACAGCAGAAAACGCCACCATGAGCCACACCGGCCTCAACAGCCCACGCTGCCCCTCCTGCCCCTGCAGCACCGGGGACAGCAGAAAACGCCACCATGAGCCACACCGGCCTCAACAGCCCACGCTGCCCCTCCTGCCCCTGCAGCGCTGGGGACAGCAGAAAACGCCACCATGAGCCACACTGACCTCAACAGCCCACGCTGCCCCTCCTGCCCCTGCAGCGCTGGGGACAGCAGAAAACGCCACCATGAGCCACACCGGCCTCAACAGCCCACGCTGCAGCTCCTGCCCCTGCAGCGCTGGGGACAGCAGAAAACGCCACCATGAGCCACACCGGCCTCAACAGCCCACACAGCAGCACAGCCCTGACGGGAGCAGCAAAGGTGCTGGAGGTACAAAGGGCTCCCCTTTGAACAGCAGCAGCCTGAAGAGCGCTCAGATCTGCACTCCCAGACCTTCCCCTTTCCCTTATCACAACAGTGAGCGTGTGCTCCAAGTGCTGCCTTGGAAAGTGATGGACACATAACCCTTTGTTCTGTTAGCTCTTCACAAAACTAGAGCCTAGAATAAAGCCCAGTGAGAGCATTTCAGTGGCCACACTTTGACCATGAGTTACATTCAGAAAGCAATTCCGAAACCCTGCGCTACTCCAGCTCACAAAACTCAGCAAAGTGCCCCAAATGTCAGCACTCAGCTCCTGGGCACATTCAGAGTCCAGCTCTCACCCTGGGAACCAGAAGCTCCCACTCAGAGGCAGAATATCCTCCAGGCTAAAATTCACACAGGTTTCAAGGAAAGCTCAGACAAACAACTGTTGAGAGCTTTTGAAAAAATAATCCCAAAGACAGACTGCTACTGAAAGGAATGTTACTGACTATCACTGAAGGGAATGAAATGGGGAAACACCAGTCATTGTTAAAGGGACCATCAGTATCTACTCCTACACTCTGAGTAATGACATATAGTGAAACATAACTTTCTACTACTGTTAAGAATTCACTGGATATGATATTCTGAATATTACTGTGGTCTTTGATATTATTAAAAGGGCTGCCCTTGTGCTATAAGATTTTCTGCTTATGAAGCTTCCTCACTTAAAGGCTTACAGAGAACATGACTAAAATTCACAGAGGACAAGGCACTTCCAAACAAGCCACTACTCAGAGCAGTAATTAGCATTACACTCAATGAACAGATTTTCAGGAAATTACATCATTCTATGCTAATTGGAGTTTACCAAGTTGAGCAAAGGGGAATTGCAAAGGCACAATTATACCAGGACCAAGCCTTTCCTTGTGCAAAAACCCACTGCCAGCCTTGCACAGCCTTCCAACAGCCAGACTCTGGCTGCCCCAGAGCCGGGGACTCAGTCTGGACCAGCAAGATGGTTTGGAAGCAAATCCCTTTTCTCTACATTTACCATGTGCAGGTTTGGCTCTTGGAAAGGTTTTGGTGTGTGCCAGCTCTCAGAGGATGTTCAAGTGCAAGCACCACTCCAGATGTGCTGCAGCACCCAGTGGAACACACCCTGCAGCAACTGGGATGCCACAACATCTCCTAAAGTACACCCAGGGCTTTTCCCTTCAAAGATTTTTCCAGCAGCCAAACAGTTCAGCATAGGAGCACAAACCAGATCTCATCCAGCCCCTTATCACATGTAAAAGAGATGTGAGAAGCATCAGCACCAGCTACTTCAATCTCATTTTATCATGTTAAATTCCCTGCTAACATCAACACAGCCCCTGCCTGCCCAGCATTTGATGCCAATGCAAAATGTCCCAGTGTTGAAGCTCCATTTCATCTACTTGTGGTCAAGGGGTTAAAAGCATTTGCAGAGAGACAAGCAAGAGTTTCTAACAAAAAACCCATTTTTCCTGGTCCCCATTAAGCCTTTGTTTTTATCACAGTAAATCTGAAAGGGAAAAAAGTCTGTTATTGGAGGATTACCTATTTGACTCAATAACTCATTAAAATTCCTCCAACTTGGCAAGCTAAGAAATATTGACTTTTCCTGACTTGTAATAAACTAGAAGGTCAAAGCATCTCTGAGCAGTGCAGAAAGTACAGCTCATGGAAGGAGTATCTGACTATTCTTTACTTACTTCACTAATTGTTCCAGAATTTTTGCAAATTACCCTCAGAAATGCAAATTTTGTGACCTCAGGGAGACCTCCCTGTAAAGGTCCTATTATCTATCAGTGCCTGCTGTAAATCAGAGCAGCCCAATGGATGAGGACTTGAGGAGGCTCTGGCCCAGCATCCTCTTCCTCCTCTCAGTGGCAGGACCTGCATCAGTACAGGCATTTGCCTTTTCCATCACAATGTTCCTTAAAAACACTGTTTTGGAGACTGTGGTTGATATTAAAGTTATTTAAAAATCAAGATTCAGCAGCTATTATTGTCTATATAAATGTAATTCAGGTACAACTACAGCAAAGACCTTCAGGGGCTGCCTTGATCACTAAAAATTGATCCCTCAGAGCTTGCACCAGCCAAGGACTGTGTTATGCATCTCACTGAAGGTTATTGCTGCCTCCTCATTCAAGGTACTGCTCTGATTTAATGCACCAGGTCACATCTGAGTAGGTGACAGCTGCACCCTGCCCTGAGAGCAGCAAAAATGCGCCTAAGAGCCTCAAGTAATTCTGGTATTTTGATTTTTAATATTAAATTTGCATAACTGAAGACAAACATTTTTATTAGAATGGGATTTTACAGTTTTTTAATGATACATCAAAGATTTGTAAAAAAACAGCCTATAAAAAATATAAAACACTTAATTTTTCCTCCATCTATGCCAGTTACTATGGAAAAACCCCAGAAACCCTGATTATATTTATGCCTTATTCATTTTGTTCAGAGTTTAATTTACTCTGTGTTCCCAGATGGACAACTCCTGGTTAAACAACTTAGTTTGGAAAGGGGATAAAAAAATATACCCCACAAACAGCCAGAAAGGAAATATTCAAGCATTCTGGAATCCTGATGTGCTTCTCCTTGTCCAAGTCCACTCTGAAATCCCTGTGTCTGCAGGCAGAGTGCTAACATCAGTTATCTTTGCCAGAACCTCGTAATGTGGACAGCAGCTCTTTAATTCAATTATTATTTGCATAATCCTTTGAAGAACTAAAGCTGCCCACAATCTCACTCAGCTGCACAAATGCACCCCCTGGCCAGCAAGGACAGCAACAGGGTGTGGAACAGCACAGAGCAAATGGAGAGGAAAGGAAGTGTTCGACTGTGCAAGCACTGTTGTCTTTATCCAAGAAACCAATTTATCTGGAGCAGCACCATGAACCATGGAAAGAGACTTTCCTTGATTGCATCAAGGTGGATTCCACAGGCAGGACACTGGAGTGCAGCTCACAGATGTGAAACATGCCTTCCACTGCTTTTTTTGGGACTATTAGAAGTGACTGAACTCCTCACTCTTACAAAGATTATTAAAAACAGAAATGGGAAAGGTAATCAAGTGAAACTACCACAAACTGCACAATGAGCCCCACTGTACTGCATGGAGAAGACATCATTTATTCAATTTATTAATTGCAAAGAAAGTAATTTACATAGGTAAAAAGTCTATCATCTTGCAAAACAAGCCACTCTTCAACACTAATTAATGATGCTCACCATGGCCAGAGTCTGAGGTGTTACAACATTGCACTAAGGACAGAAGGATGGACAGAGGAAGCCCAGTCTCATACACCCATGAACACACCTGACTTCTCAAATTAGATCCTGGTTGCCCCTGAGAAATTTGGAATTCCAGTGGAAAACTTACAAGAGCTTGGTGCAGGCAGAAAATAACTGAGCTCAGGAACTTCATAGGCTCAGGCTGCTTGCATCTCAAAGCAAGACTTTAATGAGGAAATTAAGATGTTCCTGCCACATTAGAGAATGCACATCCTCTAACTGTGCATTAATTCTTAAAGACAGGGACCTCATCTACCTTTTGCACACCACTAAATGTGTTACAGATCAGACTAAGGCACACAGGCTTCTTTTTCTTCTCTCCCAAATACAATCCTATTCCTTACTGCCTCAAAATTCCCAAAGGAAGGCTGGGTTCAGGACAAGCAGTGGTTTCACTTAGGACCAACAAGACAAAACCATTGCAGAAAGCAAACCCAAAAACCAAACAGCTCCATCATATCACTGCTCATAGAAAGTGGCTTATACACAGCAGAAATGTAAATTATTACATTTCTATGTTAAAAGGAAGTTTGCCCTCAAGTAACAGTGAGCTCCAGCAGGCAGCTGGGTATCCAGGTTTATTGCTGAAGGAAGAAGTTTAGACATTACATCAGAGCTAGGGCTAAAACTAGAAACTTTAATTATGTATTACTGAAACTGAAAGCTTCTATACCAAGTCCTTCCAAGGCAATGATGCACCTTGCAAATGTCATATTAAAATAAAAAAATCCAACTCTCCATGACAGTGATACACACAGATGTATAGTTCAAGTGTGTATTTACATACATCCATTCACAGACAGATTATACACAACCACACACTTCCCATGCACTTCCTTTTCCACATCTCATTTTTACTGGGACACAAAGTCAGATGCTGCAGCACAGCTTCCTAAACCTTCCTTACCCAGCACATCTTAAGTAGATTCTTGAGTAACTCATGGTTGGAATCAACCAAAGTTGAGCTACATATGGAGACTGGGCTATGATCAGCAAGCAAATTGTGTGCTGCACATGTCCTTACTGCCACAATACAATAAGAAAGGAAACAAAGCAGGAATTTCATAACAGTCT